TAAAAATCTATTTCGGCATTTTTGTGAATGTGTTCTATGGTTTTTTATTGAAATTCAAATCAAAACAACATAGTTTGACCAAATATGTAGATATCAGGTGTACTTACTGAATGAAGTAATGCATACGCCTTGATGGGGCCATTAACCCCTTGACGTATCAGTTAGCGCAAAGGAATTCGTGTCCAACTGTTCACACACAATTTGCACAAAAAAAAAAGATCAAACTTCTTGGTTTCGAATAATATGTATTTTTTTTTTTTTTTTTTTTGAATAAAACAAAACTTTTTACACTTTTTTAACGCAAAAAACAAATGCTCAACACATCACTGATTTCATTTTAATAAACAACTGCTTTTTTACCACCTTTTATAAACATTTTGTGTATTTTAGGATAATTTTTAATCAAATAGTAAAAAAGCGTTCATGTATTTCGAAAGCTATCGTTCGTTTGCCGTTACGTATACCATTCGAAAAACTACTAAATTAAATGTAAAGTTTTACAACAATGTTCAATAAATGAGAGTCAAATGGGAAATGAGAACAAACTACACAAATACAATCACACATTTGAATATAAAAAAAAGGCAAATGGAAATTTTCAGTATTTGTGAGAATTGTGTACAATTTTATTTTACAAAAACATGAATAAAAAACCCAAACGATACCTATAAAACATGTTCCAAAAATTTTTATTTTGTTTAGAGACTGTGTTGTGTGAAAGTCTTTGAAATTTTGGTACATAGTTCGCGATTTTGCAATTGATTCAAGTGAGTGAATTTGACATTCTCGTTCGAATGAGGACACTTTTTTTCGTCATACATAAACCCAATTTTTAGAGAAAAAGTATACGTTTACGGGTTCTTTCGAGTTGCTTATCGTTCGACTTCTTTTGCCTGTAAAAAGTTTTTATATAAACCAAAATTGATTTTCTTTCGCATTGAAAGCGAAAGAAACCTTTCTTTCGAAATACATAAACAGGCTGTTAGTTTTCGCCTCGGCAAAACAAATTGACGTTAAACTTAAGTTTTTTTATGAATTCGCTTACTGGCCGTCCTTTATAGGCCTTGCTATGGTTATTTTTCTGAGTTGTAAAGCCACATAGCCCAATATGCCTGATGAGCCGCTTAACCAACGGCGAAACGCGTCGCATAATGGTGGGTACGTAGGTTCTTCTCCTGGCTTTCCTTTTCATTGCAAAACTTAGATCATCAAGCTCGACTCGAAAGAGTATAAATAACCACTTAAAATGAGTTCAATATATTTTTACTAAAAATTTAGATATCAGTTGCCGTTACTGGAAGACCTTAATATATAGACCATGTTCATAAGAGTAACAGGGAGGCGAATTCGTAGTCTTCATTGACTGTCAAATTTATTATTTGAAGAATAAATCAAGGCCTATATAAGGTCGGACTGTAAGCACAGTTGTGAAATCATATGTTGAAACCTACACATACATACAAATTTATGTTAGACGCCAAAACGAAAATATTAATATATTGTCAACATTCAATTTTAATTTATATCGCCCAATGCACATATATTAGGAAGTCGCATCGGCGAATTACTACAACAAAGCAACTTTTTTTGGGAACATAATATGTCAAAATTTGTAAACAAGGCAAATAAAATTCAATTCGCCTTGACATTTCAAAATTTAGGCAAATTTGATTCAACCAATCTGAACAAAATGTTTTAATACCCTACACATCTATGTTAAAACTATGTGTTGCCTCAAGAGTTTGTAGCTGCACTACTCGTAGACTCAAATTGTTGTATATCGTTTATCATATATCCGTCTGTCCATTATAATTTGTAATCTGATTATCATGATCCAAATCAAATGGTGATTGAAAAAATTATCTTCTGAAAACACAACATTAGCACTATTTTGAATTAACGAATCAGTATGTGTCGGCATCTTTCAATAATTTCCCTTGATGAATTCTGGAAATTTTGTATGTATATACGGCAGGGATGGTCCGTGTAACGAATTTTTAAGTTTTCGACTGTCAAAAAGTTGTAAACGTCGAAAACGTCATATACCTGTATAAAATGTAATAAATGTAGTAAACGCCATTTATTTCAATTTTTTCGCCAGATACAGTTATTTTCATGAATATATATTTTTACGTATATCTGATTATTCCTTCATAGTCCTGACAAAAAATTCTAAACTTATTTGAGATTTTTTTTTAATTTTGATATGGGTTTAATTAAAGCATGTGTAGTTTCCATATTGACTAATGGAAAAACTCTTTTGTCAAAAACCTAATGGGTTTTCATGGGTTTCCGACGTTTCAGACGTATGTATTATACGTCGGAAATGTATGTCATTTACGTCACTTTTTCTGACGGACCATCCCTGGTGTCAATTTTCAAATGATTTACTCCCTCCATCATAAAGTGGAGTGTATATTCCATTTGTCAAAGCCCTTTCGTTCAGCCTCATTTCTTGTAGCTTGGGCATGTTATAGCACAAACTACAAGAAATGAGTCGTACATCTACAAACTCTTAGGCAATCCATACTGTTAACATAGATGTGTAGAGTATACAAACATTTTGTTCTGATTGGTTGAATCATTTCTTGTAAATTAAAACACCTTTCACGAAAATCTTTCCAGTGTTGATGTAGCCCTCATATTAAATTCCTGTTCATTTTTAGACATTTTGGTCCTTTCGAAGTAAAATTGGAAAAAAATCACGAAACTTCAATTTTATTTACAAAAATTGATTAATTTTTAAAGCGAATTAAAAATTACAACAATTTGTTTTGACATTCAATGTTACAATGAACTGGGTCGATGCGACTACCTAATACATCTACCTTGATATCGCCTTTGTGAAGCACATTTGAACTTTTTCAAGATTTTAAAGAACATTTTCAAGTAAATTATCTTACAAAATTATAAATTGTGTTTGTGTTTTGGTTGTTTTTTATTTAAAGGCGAATCAATTAGTGTTCGCCTCGACAAAAAAATTCAATTCCCCTACTGGCCGATCTTATATAAATAAACAAAAAAATTTGAAATAACGTTTTTTGAATTATATTTTAAAATTTTTATCCTGTTCTGGTTGGTATTTCGCGATTAAAAATATGACAGCAAGAGAAGAATAAGGCATGAATTCGCCTGCCGTTTAACCTTATGAATAAACCGTGGTACCAAGGTTTATTCATAAGGTTAACAAGGAGGCGAATTCGAAGTCTTCATTGACTGTCAAATTTATAATGTGAAGAATAAATAAAAAAAATAATAATAATTTTTATATATGTACATTACTATCATTACGTTTTCTTGAAAGATATTTTGAGTTTTTATCCTGTTCTGGTTGGTATTTTAAAATGTTGATAGCAAGAGAATATAAGGCATGTATTTGCCTGCCTGTTAACCTTATGAATAAACCTTGCGTGGTACAAATTGTTACTGAATGTTGTTTGATAACCATGACATAATTATACAAGGTAGTGTCATACAGACATATGATTTCAACTTTTTCATAATTTTACTTTTGACAACATTTAGCTTTCAAAATGTAAGTGTTCAGTGGCAAAATTTTCGAAACTATTAATAGCTCTGTCTGTTTACTCGATATTTGGTAACAATTGTTATCAAATGTTACTAAATGTTGTCTATTTACCCAAAAATCCAGTAAAAGAGAGTCAAGTGAGAGAGCAAGTTTGACAGTTGAACAACAACAAACTTACTGGAGTTTACTGAAAGAATTTTATGCAGTAAGATTTTGCAAACTCAGCTATTTTTGGATCAGCTGTTTTATGATCAAACACGCAAATTATTCAAAACATTTTTTTAATTTGCAAAGTACAATTTGAAGTTAAGTTGTATAAAAATTACAGAAAATGGAAGAAAATTCGTAACTAATGCAAAGTTTCATTAAATTAGAAACTAATTCCTTATATAATTTTAGACAAGTTCCAGATAGAGGGCAATGTATTGATGCAGGAAGCTTAAATGTTCCCGGGGAACATACCAAATCAGTTTTTCTTTTATAGTTCATTTTATTTTTAATATTAAATGCAATACAAATAATTGTGTTTGTCCTTTGTTTGTTGTTTATTTTGGCTCAAATCAAATGTTTTCTTGAATCAGCTGTTTATTTGCTAAATCTTACTAAATGTTGTCAGTTTACTTTTCTCAGTATTATCGCAAAAGAGAGTAAAAAAAAGGGTTACTCTCTGAACTAGAACATACTGAATAAATGTTACTGGAAAAGTAACCAGACACACTTAATATTGGTTAATAATTTGAATTTGTTTTCTTTCAATCATAAAATACTTAAAGGCCTTAGAAAATATTAATTTTTAATTTGTTTAAAATGTGCCAATCGCCATGCGTACCAGTTTTTGGAATTTATTTTACATATTATTTGAAATTGATATTGATGATTGCCATTATAAATTTTTTAAATGTAAAAAACAATTCAATTGTTTTGAAATAGATTTTTCATATTTTAACAAATTTAATTTTTGTGTATGGGTACTATGGTTTTTTATTGGAATTCAGATCAAAACAACATAGTTTGACAAAATATGTAGATATCAGCTGTCCTTACTGGATAGACGTTAGTTAAGAACTCTTCAAATTGTGGCATATACATTTGATTTCTTACTGGAGTTTCACACGAGAGAACAAACTCTCTCAACATAAGTTACATAGTAATTTTTACTCAGTAAGAAACCTTATTTTTAATACTCCAGACATATGTAATTTGCTTCAACTATATATCTCGGCGTTTTATTAATTAACATTTTCTTATGAGTAATACATGTTAATCTCTTTAAAACTTTTTCATTAGATTACGGCAACAACAATATATCTTAAAATGTTCCATACTGTTGTCACAATGATATGTTCTATAAGCTTTAGATGATAACGTATTTCAAGAGAAGATTTAGCCAGTCACCGCTATTAATTTTACACAAAAAAAAAAAACACTTTTTAATCGTAGCAACACAATACAAATAAAAATAGATTGTCATTTATTTACGTGATAGGGTTTTACATAATACTTTGCGTACAAAATAACGATTACTATAACAAGATTGTACTGAAAAATCGTTATCGTTATTGCCTAAAAATAAATTGAATACATTGTATACATGTTAATGTTGAATAAAAATAAATCAATAACAAATATTTATACTTCAATATAATTATGATCCTCCAAATCAATATATTATCACAAGGAAGAAAAATCCGTCCAGTGTACATTATCGATGACTTTCGAATTTATTTTATTTTTTAACACAGCCATTACAATAAAAATAATCTTAACATTTACTTTTCATTGCCTCTAAAACATTAGATGGTAATTTTGAAATAATATCAGAATGAGATACGTCTCCGTTTGTTGCCAAAACACCTTGAAGATTTGGGTGATTAACATTCGCACCATACGAGTAATGATTTCCCAGCATATCAGTAAGTGTTCCACCTTGTGATTCCAATACAGCTTCGGGGGCACAAGTGTCCCACTTTTTGCATCCTGGACTAGCAAAGACATAAGCATGCGCTTTTCCCTCCAACAATTGCAATACCTTGTATCCAGCGCCACCAACTTTAATAACGTCAGTAGGGTTGAGGGCATCTAAAGCCGCTTGCACAATGGCATTAGAATGTGATCGGGTTGTTGTTACAATGAATTTGTCTTTCGGTGGTGAAATACGCTCGAAACCACCTGTACCCAATCCTTTTAAACCCCAAATAGTACGACCCATTTCTCCACCAGGATTTTTGAAATAGGGTTGATGAATGATTCCACCTACAGCAGAATCCTTGACAGCTATTCCTATTAAAACCGTGACATGATCTAGGAATCCTTGAGTATATTCCGAAGTGCCGTCCAAAGGATCTACCCACACAACAACATCATCATCATTGACATTAAGCCACTGATCCGGGCAAGCGTTTTTTAAGAAATCCTCATCTTCCGTTGTGACCAGCCAATCGTTTTTGACGTTAAGGTCTGAACCGCCTTCTTCTCCAATAATCTTAATTTTGGGAAACGATTTGGATAAGGATGCAATGATGCAACGCTGTGCCGAACGATCGGCTTCCGTCTGTAAGTCATCTTTACCCTAAAACGACAATAAAATCAACAGAGTAGGAATGTATTTTATTAACAAAAATAAAGAAGCAAACAAACCTTATCGATAATTCCTAAATTGCCCTTTTGCATAACATCCCTTATAATGCTTCCAGCACGTTTTGCAGTGTTGATGGACAAAGCCATCAGGCGCATCATCGTTGGCTGAGACATTTTGACTCTTATCTGTTTATAATGGAATGTTATTTTTGTTGAACTTCATCCAATATAGTGGTCATAATTAATAACTCAAAGGCAGTCTATTAAGTTATTGGCGCCGGAAAGACCGAATTATTACTAAACTGTGTTTACATGCCTCAGGAAAGTTGAATTTATGAATTGTGAAAAAATAAGACAGCATTTGAATTTTGAATTCATAAACGAAATTATAATTGTGTATTGTATTGTAACCCGAGGTCTGCGTAACAATTTTGGTTGTCGATAATGCTGTCAACTTTTTGGTTAACGTTTTCATACGATTATGTCAGAATTGAAAGCATGTTGTAAAGTCACCTTTTCCACAGGCAGATTTTTATTTGTCAAATTTTTTGTTTTCTCTTTTGAAATTTTCGCTTGCTTTTCCATTAGCAAATTTTTCTTTGCCAAATTTGCGAATCAAAATACAAAAGAAAGAAAATAAAAGTCAAAAGTGTTTGCATTTTAAAGATTTTTTTTAATATTTTATTTATTTTTTATATATTCTATTATATAAATTGCAAAAATTAAAAATTAAATTTCACTTGCACAAATTAAAGCAATAGGCTTGTAAACAAAAGCCGGCTGTGTGTCAGTAAAGCGAATAGGTTCAAAAGGAAATGTCAACAAAATTGTTTTCAACGAACAGAGCAAAGCAGAATTTGCGTGTACGGCAAATTCTGAACAGGCAAATTTTTGTTTTTCTTCCTCGCACCCCTCTCGCCTACAAACTCAGTATTTGCCAAATAAAAATTTGCCTGTGGAAAAGCAAACAAACTATTATTCAAGGTAATCGTATCAAACCAGCTGATGGTAATATTATTGGACTGTATCCGTACTGCAAGAATCTACCTGATGTAACAATTTTGTTTGTCGATAATCTGTCAACTTTTTGGTTTACGTTTTCTTACGATTATATAAAATTTGAAAGTATGTTGTAAACTATTATTCAAGGTAATCGTATCAAACCAACTGATGGTAACATTATTAGACTGTGCCCGTTCTGCAAGAATCGTAAAGGAAAAAATGTTATCGTACTAAAAAGTTGTAGATACATGCAGTAGGTAATCTACTATATATGTCAAAACAAGTTGCTGTTCTTGGTTTCCAACTTGTAATAAATTAAATTTACGAACAAGCACGAATGTCCAGTATAAACATATATTAAAAAAACATAGCAAAATAAATTTCTTATCGCCGTAATACTATTACCGCTACGTATTTCACAAAGTGGCGAACGCAAAGCGTTACGCTATTTATTAGGTCGGGACATTAACCTTTGGACTTGTCATCGTTAAATCTGATGTCTTTTCAAGAAATTGATTGAAGAAAATTAACTTTAATTGTTGTTAATATTTTTGCAGTCAAGTTGCTTCGGATTGAAATTATTAAGGATGTCGCGCATTTTGGTTGGTGTTAAGCGTGTTGTTGACTATGCTGTCAAGGTAAATACTTCTGGTTGCTGAATTTGGAACAGACTTGAACATACTATTGTCACAAATAAATCAGAAAGAAATGGAATTTTTCTTATCACATTTGTTATATTTTGCGTAATCACTTTTTTTTGCCCTTTTAACATTGACAAATATAGGTTCGTGTCAATCCTGAAAAGACAGGTGTGGTTACACAGGGTGTTAAGCACTCTATGAATCCTTTCGATGAAATCGCCGTCGAGGAAGCCGTGAAAATGAAGGAGAAGAAGTTGGCTAGTGAAGTTATTGCCGTTTCCATTGGCCCCAGTCAATCTCAGGAAGTAATTCGCACAGCTTTGGCCATGGGTGCTGATCGTGGTATCCACGTTGAAGTGTCTGGAAAGGAATACGACTTGTTGCAGCCAATTCACGTTTCAAAAATTCTTGCCAAGTTGGCCTTGGATGAGAAAGCCGATTTAGTAATTTTGGGCAAGCAAGCAATCGACGACGATTGCAACCAAACTGCTCAAATGACTGCTGCTGTGCTCGACTGGCCACAGGGAACATTCTGCAATAAAATCGAAAAGACCGATGCAGGTTTAACCATCACTCGTGAGATTGATGGAGGCCTTGAGACCATTAAAACAAAAGTGCCAGCTGTTCTCAGCGCTGATTTGCGTTTGAATACCCCTCGCTACGCAACTTTGCCTAACATCATGAAAGCTAAGAAGAAGCCATTGAAGAAGGTTGGCGCTAGTGATTTAGGTGTTGATACCAACCCACGTATTGATGTAATCTCGGTCGAAGATCCCCCAGTCCGTCAAGCCGGCGCCATTGTTCCCGATGTTGATGCTTTAGTTAGCAAACTTAAGGAAGGTGGTCATTGCTAGACTGAAAAAGGAGAGTTATATATTTTATAAGTTGAAATTCTAGGATACCCGTGCATTTATAAAAATACTAAATCAGTTTATAATGATTTTGCAAAGCATATCAAAGATTGTAAATGACAGTTTTGTGTCAATAAATTTATAGCAAATTAATAAGAAATCTTGGCACTTCTATATTATACTTATGTGAGTTAACGCCAAAACATCGCCCAGAAATTTGTTTTTGTGTTTAGAATGTGTTGAAACATTGTTGTTGTAACAGGTTGTTTGTGGCCATGTGTTTCTCGGTTGATGTGAAAATACCAAGACGATTTGTACGTGATTGTGAATATTTTTATTCATTGATTGCTGAGAATAATGCAAAACACTAGAAGATATCTCTTACGTAACAATACAACACTACTGCTGGCAAATACTAATCTTCAGCATAGAAATAATAATAGTTGGAAAACAGAATCAAAACGGCATGAACTTAACTCAATCCAAGATTGGACATTTGGATACTTTTTTTACACAATTTGTCGTAAATTGATGGAAATCACCATGAAACATTGCAAAACGTTATCTTTTGCACTGTTCGATTTTTTTTTCGACTTTCCCACGCCTCTCATTCCCACCCCTGCCGACCGAGGGTGCGACCTCCTCTTACGTAGGGATCGCGTACACACCATGATCCGAATCATGATGGGATTTGAGAGTGGAATAGAAAAACCAGCTACAGAATCTTCTTCAACAGCCAGTTTGTTATTAAGTTTTACTACTCATTTAAAAAAACAATAATATTAGATTTTATTTGTTCTACGCTAAAGCAAAAATCTACATTAGAGTGTACAGAGTTAAAGTCAATACACATTTTACTAAGAGGATCTCCCATAGAGTAATTCGTGCGGTGGAAGTCTACATATAACAATTGATAGTGTCTATTAGAACGGACAGGAACATTTATTCTAATAGTAGAAATTAGGAAATCCGAAGGTATATTACCATTTAATATTTTTAATACCATCATAGTATTCAACATAATACGTCTACTTTTCAATGTAGGCAAACGAATTAATTTTAACCTGCTAGTATAAGATGGCAACACAAAGCTACTATTCCAATGTAATCCTCTCAGTGCAAAAAGTAAAAATTGTTTCTGCACGGATTCGATTTTATCGGAATATATTGCATATTGGGGATCCCATACAACTGAACCATATTCTGAAATAGGTCTAACAAGAGACGTAAATAGTTGTTTCGTTATATATGGATCCGAGAATTCTTTGGCCCACCGTTTTATAAATCCTAAGACACCATAGGATTTATTTACCATAGATATAACATGATTGTTAAAATTTAATTTTGGTTCCATTAGAATACCAAGATCAACGAAAGAATCTACAGTTGATAAAACCGAACCATTAATATAGTAATGTCTTATCGAGAAAGAATTTCTAGAAAAACACATATGTTTACATTTATTTAAATTCAAGTCCATACAATTTACGCTGCACCATTGAAATAGGCTATTTAAATCATGCTGGAGTAAATCAGCTTGCTTTTCAGAATGATTAGTAATGAACAACTTGACATCGTCTGCATACATTAACAGTTTGGAATACGATACAGAATTTGGCAAGTCATTTACAAACAATAGAAACAGAATTGGGCCTAGGTGACTTCCTTGCGGAACACCTGATGGAACATTAATCGATTTTGAAAGACATCCCTGAAACAAAACTAGCTGTGTCCTATTTTGTAAGTAAGATGAAATCCAATTTACCAAATTTATACTAAAGCCAATATGATTTAATTTATAAAGTAGAAGTTTATGGTTAACTCTATCAAAAGCTTTACTAAAGTCTGTATAAATTGTATCAGTTTGTTTACGCTGAACAAATCCCTTTATAACAGTAGAAGTAAAGTGTATGAGATTGGTAATAGTTGAAAGACCACTACGAAAACCATGTTGATATGGACTTAACAAGGGTTGAATTCTGTTTGAAATAACAGTAGTAATTAACTTTTCGAACAATTTTGGAATAGCACTTAATTTTGCAATTCCTCTATAATTCGAAACATTCGTTAGACTACCAGACTTGTGTAAGGGTATTATATAAGACTTCTTCCAACAAGTAGGAACATAACCATATTTAAGGGAATAATTAAATAAAAACGTTAGAGGTAATGCTAATGTATCTGAACAATTCTTTAGAATTATGCTGGGTATACCATCAGGGCCTGGACATTAAATAGGTTTTAAACTGCGTAGATTTTTTGAGACCTCTCGACTTTGTAAGAAGGGCATAAATATTTGATCTATCTTTGATAGTTCATAAGGATATGGGTCTTTAACCTGATAAGTAGTATTAGAATAAGTCGTGGCAAAAAAAAAATTTGCAAAACATTCTGCAATTTCGGAGTTTTTTGAAAATTCTTGGTTATTGTATTTTAAAATTGTTGGCTTAGAAGAAACTTTTCTTTTTAGATTAACAAATTCATAAAATGATTTTGGATTGGATTTAAAATTATCCTTAATCTTGTTAAGATAAAGATTATACAACCTTCGGGATTCTATTGTATATTTAGATCTAGCAACAGAATAGTTAGCATAGTCTGTAGAGGATCCTGATTTTTTATATTTTTTAAAAAGATTCAGTTGTATCTATGACACTTTCAGAAACTGTTCGTGATACAGTACTCCCAGCAGAAACTGAGGCTTTACGAATAGGCAAAGTTTTACCTGGCGCCTTTTTCGTAGATCTCTTGCGTTTCTGTCCAGAAACTGACGGCGATGACACAAACACTTCTAGATCTTGGTACTTCTCGAACATTGAAGAAAAGTTTTCAAATCGGGTCGATAATGAGGAAAATTCACTTCTTATCAATGCTAACTCCGATCGCAAATCTTTTACAAAATTGTAAAAGTCGGCAGAAAGTTTTCTACAATGCACGCAGCACCAACGAACACCAACATTTTCTCTAATTGTATCCACTACTCTTGCATTAATCCATGCCATTGATTAAGGCAAAGCCAACACGTTACACATAATGCATAATCTGTAACAATATTGCACAATTCGTAGGGACACGACATTTTTAATATCTTTTTTTACTAATAATTGATGTTAGAAATAAAAAAATAGCTGGAATGTGAAAAGTGTTGGCAACTCTGTAATGACAACTCGTTTGAAATTTTCGCTTGCTTTTCCATTAGCAAATTATTCTTTGCCAAATTTGCGAATCAAAATACAAAAGAAAGAAAAAAACGTCAAAAGTTTTTGCATTTTAAAGATTTTTTTTAATATTTTATTTATTTTTTATATATAAATTGCAAAAATTAAAAATTAAATTTCACTTGCACAAATTAAAGCAACAGGTTTGTAAACAAAAGCCGGCCGTGTGTCAGTAAAGCGAATAGGTTCAAAAGGAAATGTCAACAAAATTGTTTTCAACGAGCAGAACAAAGCAGAATTTGCGTGTACGGCAAATTCTGAACAGGCAAATTTTTGTTTTTCTTCCTCGCACCCCTCTCGCCTACAAACTCAGTATTTGCCAAATAAAAATTTGCATGTGGAAAAGCAGACTTACAACAACTAAAAAAGTAATGTAACAAGAGGAACGCACAGGTAATGAAACAAAAAAAGGTTGATTTTTATAATTAGACTGAAAAAATACAATTATTTTAGCACTAATCAAAAATGATTTACCACACCAGTTAGTACAATATGCACAAAATTATTAAAAAAACACTTTCAAACACTTTTTAATAGACAGACACTTATTTTATAACAAAATTTAAAATGACAATAGTTTTAAGTTGCCATAATAGTTCATATTAAAGACACATTCAAATTCATTATACTTTCAACATGATTACTTTAAAGCAGTGTTGGGCAAAATTAAATTGAGAGCAAGTGTGTGCGAGCGTAACTGAGAATTCACCATTATAAACGTCTATAGTAAAGAGAATATATGTCTACCAATCGACCCTTTGTTACGGTAGCGTATATGGGTAAGCATGCCTGCTTTAAAGCCATACTAAATTGAAAAGCTGTGTTCCTTACATGCTCATTTTCATATCTAATGTTTGTTATTTTGAGGCTATTTGTCTTTTTACACAAAATGCATTAAAATAGTATAAATTGAGAGAGCTATATTACTGTACGTTGCATTACTGAGTATTTTAAAGTCTTACCGGAAACATTTATTCGGTACAGTTTTTTACATGGCAAAACAAAAAAACAATAAACGTTCATTGTCAACTCATGTATTTTTCATAATAATTATTCATGATTTGAGGATTATTACAAAATGTCGCTAAATCCTTGCATTCTGGAGAAGGTACATTTTTTGAAAAAAGTACAATAATAGTACAAAACATATATAATAGAAAGACCAGTAAGGAAAATAGTAAAGTCGGACGGGGCCGACTATATGATACCCTTCACCACTTTGGGTATATTCAATAGATGAAGCCTAACATACGTCGCATTTTTGAAGAACCAGTAAAATGAAATTGGATCCATAAACATGTCATTCTGCAACCTATACTAAATTTTGCATTTGGTCAGATATAGAGTTGCTTCTTAAATGGGATAAAATTATGTAAATCAATTTAAAGCAAATATCAATCGGAAACCCGTTGATTATTTTAATAAATATCTGATAAACATGAGGAGTTTGGTGTACCATTTACTTAAAATCGGACGAAAATATATATAAAAGCTATATCGAAATCTAAACCGATTTCATCGAAACGTGTCACAGGTTTTGAGTTCTTGATGCATCATTTACCTAAAATCGGGAGAAAACATATATGTTAGCTCTATCCAAATTTGAACTGATTTCAACAAAACTTTCCACATGTGAACTTCAGTACGTTGTGCAAAATTAGGTATTCTGGATTACAGGGAGTAGGAGAATGAGAGTAAATTTTGTGCGAATTTTTTCGCTAATAAATTCAAAGGGAGCTGACTACAAAAATATAAGTAATAAATATTTTTATGAAAAATATTGTTACGTTCTT